GACTAATTGATAAACCAAAATAGCAAAAAACAATTTAATAGTAGTAATAATAATAATAATCTTATTTACTTTCTGAACTTTCCGAATCCGAGTCTTGCAGTTTAATAACACGAGATACTACGGTTCTTAGATTTTCAGATAGATTATCAGTTTTATAAAAACTAGCCAGGTCTAGACCCTTTATTACACGAGACGTCTCATCGTTGTTATAGTGACATAGATCATTTACCTAATCAGAAGAAAAACTAATATAGAAATGGACAAGCTATTAAAGTTACTTAAATTAACAAAATAGAATACATAGGAGCATAATAATATGTAAATCATATTGATTACCGCAATAATCATCTATCTACATATTATTGTATCTACTCACGGGTTTATCGGGTATTTCTGCAGTAATTACTGCCATCTCCAATAGATAAATAGTCAATGCCATTACATGTTCTGAAATGCTACGACCATATACAGCCTTACAAAGAATTAGTAAGATCATAGCATGGAAAACTCTGGTGCGTAATACGATCCGAGGATCGTCGTAATCGAATGCAACAGGAGCAGGATGTCTAAACGGTGGCCATGGTGCTGCACTATTTTTCAACTTTCCTGATTGCTTGACACTAAAATATTCATGAACATGTAATACATATTCAGTAGTTATATATCCAGGCAAAACATAGAACTTACTATTCTGTGAAACGATCCATCGATATCTGAAAATCTTTCCTGTGCACTGCTCTTAACAAGACATGTAAAGGATCGAATAATTCATCCCACACATGTGGTTTCGGACCATACATTCCTTGTTGCATATTTCCACTAGCTTCAAGATTGGGAGCTTTGTATTGTGCTATCTGTTAAAGTATATTGTACCATTGTTTAGATAAAGTTCATGGATATACAAGTATCGTAAATAATACAAATGAAACATACATCGGCCAACACAGATTCAAAGTCTCTGTTCTGGGTAGTACCACAACGCTCTGGCATTAACTCCATTAACTGACTGTGAGTTTTATCTCCCATGCATAGTAAAGTAACCATTTCTAAACCTGACATTTCGTTATCAGGCAAACCTACATAAATATCACATAAGTTCCATGTTCAGAAACTACATGTAAACAAACATAAAATAAATAGCATAGGACATTTACCTAGATTCGTTCGAACATTTACCAAAGTAGCTAAAAATGTTAAGCAGCTCTCCAACATAGGAATGTTATTATCTGCTTCCATGTATTCGCTCTGACGTGTATAATATAAACAAAAACTCATCCTTTCCATTACGTGAAACCTAAGCAAAATGAGATGATTATTTTTTATATATCCTGAATATAAGAATAGTAGAGAGGTAAGCGTATAAACGAGTAGTTACTTTTCGAGGACTGTTTTTATAAAGACATCCGGTTGCAATTTGGTTGCACACACTTGCAGAAGATAGAGATCTGCATCTACCATTGAGTTGCAAAAATTGCATTGTATATAGGTCATAGCTTGTCCTTTTATTTGAAGTCCATTACGAACCCATAATCCATCTAAGATTTCGTAGAAAGCAACCTAAATAAAAAGAGCCATGGTATCAGTAAAATTTCAAATTCTCGAAATGAGAATATTTTACGTAATATAAATTTTGCAAATATTAAAAAATGGTATTGTTTCATTTTTTAAATATAAATACATCATCTTATGTCGATAGGCATGATTCATAGATACATAACGGTACTTCCGAAAAAAGTATAATGAGTTCGACTCTGTGAACGCAATTTCCATTTCTATTTTATTCAAGGACATTTTGTTAATTATCTATTATAAATTGCAAAGAAAATATTAATCGTAATAAAACAGTTAGGGATCATTAAGGGAGCGAATAAAATGTTATTTTGCGATGTAACGGCATGAAGATTAAAATTTATTATCATTTAAACAAAATATTATTTTCACGGATCTTGCGTATCTACAATTAGAAAGGATAATTCGTTGACCATAATGTCTAAAGTATTGTAAACATTCTTTCACAGTGAAGTTGTTTCGTGGCTCCTATAGCGATTCCCCCACCAAAGCAACAAATCCTCTCACTGGAAGACATTACAAACCGTTGCGGCGTCAGTTGGCAACGATCTCCTGGTCAATGGAAGAAGGACAAGAAGACAGTTTCAGAAGAACTGAATGAAATTCTACGCGTACAACGTGTATTTTTAGTTAAAATGGTTCTCGTATTTCTCATAACTCGTTCATAGCTTTCCCGAGCTCGTGTTGTAAAGTTTACAAAGACACGCAAGAAAAGGGAGAAGAAGGAAAAAAGGATTTCAACCTGTGATATAAATGTGCAAAGATTACGCAGCATTTCGAATCTGAATTCGTTTCAATTAGAAATTTAAGGAAACCTAGTGAAAATGCTTCTAACGAGAACAAAGACGATTTATCTTTGTTTGATAATCAGCTTATGCCCGTTAGCGAGCAGCATGGACTCGCTGAGTCTGTTAGACATAAAGGATATATTAAGATTCGGTCGCGAAACGATGATGGATATTTTGGAATCATGGGAAATGATACGCCCGAAGTCGCCCAACGACGAAGAAAATAGTTTCCCGTTTGTTTACAGGATGGAGAAGGAAATAAAGAATCGCATAACGCAGGTATCGGACAAGATCGATATTTATCAACGAAAAATGGAAATTCGTATCAACACGATTTTACCGAAACTACTGACCGATTTACCGTTGCAAGAAGACCTGAATTCTAAACTGCACGCACTAGATCAATATCTAGGCCAAATCGACGATTTATATTACAATTTTGAATTTTACATCAAGTCGACAGAAAAATACGAGAAATACACGTTAGAGGACTTTGCCTTGACGTGCGTCTCTTCTAGATCAGGCGCTTTGCCCGACCTTTTGAAAAGTATTCATCGATTGCTCGTTCCTTCCGCCGATGAAACCTTCAGCAAGAGCATTCTTGTTTTATTGGGGAAACAGATGAACGTAAGTACACGTTAAAAACTTTCTAGAGAACTTTTACTTCTGTACCTAATTCGCTATTCCCCTTGTATTTTTCTACCGGTTCGTGCGAGACTCGTTGAAGCTTTTCGATAAACGGATAATAAAGAAATTCACAGTATATTATACACGGCTGTAATTCTCGGTACGCTGGTAACGAGAACCCTATCGTAATCATTAAGTCCAAAGAGGTATTAGGTGCAGGAGAATATAACAACGATCAAGTGACATCCGACTACGTGCACCTATTCAATTTACGAGCTCAATAGAAACGTAGAGATGTCGTGCTGAAAAATTCACTGCGATAAGGTCTTCCGTATTATTCACGGTATGCACTATCGAAACGATCAAATTCGAGAGGAAAAAGCAATTTTAACGCGAAACACATTTGAACTGCACGTTTATTCGCGAGTTGGTTCTCGTACACATCGCCAGCTTTTCTGAAAGTAAATAGTGCGCGATAAACGTGTCAGAAAATGATGACGGCATACATTAAGCAAATGTCCGTGATCCAGAGCATTGTCACTTGGGATAATTAAAAGGATAATTAAAGATTCGTAGAATATTTGTACGATATCGATCACGCCGCGAAATGATTTTTCGGAAGAAATTCGAATTTTTATGCCGTCCGAGTGAAAGAATGTTCATTTCTCTATTGGACTTGTCATTGCAAAGGCGTGCAATGCCTTCCTCCATGATACAATGCTCTTTGTACAGACAACTTAACAACGAGAAGAATAAGAATGAAGGGTGGGCATGCGCAGAGATACATAACATCATTAAAGCCTGAACGATTCGAAGCGTAGAGAGGGGAGGCGTACAGAGTAAAATGCAGACAGAGCAATGTAAAATCTTCAGTCGAGTTCAAGCGACCGAGAAAAGTGATCGTTGTACTGCATTCTTTTTCCGTGTTGCGTGTGATAATCACGTTGAAAAATAATATTTCGGGGAAAAGGTCGGTGAACGGTTTTGTACGTGTAACGGCGCGTGTCGCGCGACAGGGATATAGATAGGACACGTATATAGTTTATACCTGAAGAATCTTCACACCGTGAACCAATGTAAGAATATTTACCGTCACAGTTTCTCCAGTTCCAATTTTCGTTTATTGCGTTTGAAACGGTTCGAAGAATAGCATTGACCTGTCGCGACCTATATATATATATATATATATATACGTATATATATATATATATATTTTGCAACTCTAGTCTATGTTTAATCGCTGATACGGAATGTACACTCGAAAAACAATATTTCTATTTGATTAAACATATTTCTTCGACTCGAGAAGAAAAATGACTATTTATAAACAAAAATGCCCGGAAATTTCACTTTAGAACGTTGCACTAGAAGTAATAGTCTCGTTTGAAAGTTTTTCGCATCGTTCGATTTGCCGTGTCGTTCACTGGTCAACAATGCGGTTGATTTCGACCAAACCGAACATTTAGAAATCTGTATCGCATGACAATTTAATGATTTAAGTTCACGTTTTCGCGTGAATTATTATTTACAATAACAATAGCGATAATTACGATATTAATGCCAATAGTTTCGGTCAACGAAAACTTTTAAAATTACCTCGTTATTGACCTTGGCCGAGAAGATGCTTTACAGAAGAACCTTACTAAGTTATGGAATACCAAGAATTCGTACCGTTTCGAAACTCTACTGGCCAAAGAGAAAAAAATATTCAAATCAGACACGAACGATTTAAAAAATATCTTAGTAGGTTTAAATTTGAATATAAACTGGAATCGTATGTAATTCAATTTTGCGTAATAAGATCGCAGAGAATGCGAAGAAACCTTACATGTTCCGATTCTAGAATAATCGAATCGATTACTTTTTTTCTTCGCGTGATTCTCTTTTGAAAAAAATCGAAGCAAGGCTCGTGATAGGTAATGTCTTGAAACGACGGTGTCCATGCGTTTCCACGTGAAAGCCTAACGTAAGTTGAACATGCAAAATAATAACGAAATATTCCGAGAGAATTCATCGAATGTCAGTTCACGTGGAATTAATTGACACGGCCGGAAGTACTATTAGTATCAACCGGACATGACTCATTTTTATAAATGATTAGATAGGATTTAGTGAAAAATCATCATCATTAACGAAGGACGCTGATCCTTGGTAGCGAAGCATCAGGCGCTTCCGTGTTTTCCGCGAACGAAATACACGATATCATTCGGTGTAGTGACGTATCTAATTTTTAAGTTAATCGGTACATTCGACCCTTACATCAAACGTGATTCGCATACGTCGACCACTTATACGTGATCACACAGTCATGATGTGTGTACGGATCGCGGTTACCATACAATACACGGAGAAGCGGCCGAACACGTTGCCGTTTCAGTCGAATATACTGTGTTTTGTTCTCAGAAGTTTCAAGGACACCCCCCATTGTTTACGAGCAAGAAAAACTTTTTAATCTTCAAACTACGCGATGATACTTCCGACAGTACTGTTACGCTTTGTTTCTTTTGCTCTCGGAGTATACCGGGTAACGAATAAAATTTATTTACGTTAAGATTACATAAGAACAGCCTATAACCGTAATCCATTTGGCGCCAAATTGGAACTGGAGAAAATCGACGCGTTAGAATTGTCTTAAAAACAAAATGGTTTCGATTAAAAAACATATTCGATTTACTTATCCAAGCACAGATATTGTAGATTATGAATTGGACGTAGCGGTTGCGCGTATTTGTCTAACCAAAGGAAATCGAAGAGAAGATACTTATCGAAAGTAAATAGAAAAAAGGATGAGGAATATACGAACCGCATGGTTGCTCCTACTGTCGACGATATGGGGAGTGAACGCTGTTTCGAAAACCGAAGTGACGGTGATCGACGAGATGAGACGCATGCTCTACGAACACACGCAATCGCTGGAAGACGTTATGTCTCAACGGATGAATATGAAGGGACTCGAGGCGGAGAAATATCTGATTAGGAGCTTTAAGAACTTCGGCGACAAGTTGGAGGAGAGTTTTCCGAAACCTGGCTACGAACACTTGGATTCGTTGAGTTCCGTGTGGTTGTGGGCCCGAACGGAGAACGAATTGAAAGTGATCGATTCGCTGTACAATGTTTTCAGGCGAATGCAACACGAAATCATCGATTTAAATATGGAACTCGATTTACAAAAGCTAGGGAACGTGTCGGATGCTATTTTACATGATCCAAACGTCTCCATAGTAGACAAACTCGCCCGTATAGCTGAGTTTATAGTGCATGATAAGTTGTTCATTTTGGCTTATCAGGTATAATAAATAATAACAATAAATTGCAGCAATATCTAATGCGGCTTGTAGTATCGCATCTTTGATAATGAGAGAAATTTTAGCGATTCGAGTACATTCAATATACTTAAATGAGTTTGTATTTTGTACAGGAAGCATCTTCACAAATCTGCAGAGAACGTCAGTCTCTTCAGCAATTGCTTTACAATCTCTATAGCACAGTTACCCTTGCGGAAATTAAGGGCTACAGTATGATTCAATTTTCCTATATGTTATTGAGAATGTATAATCAAGGTATAATTGAAGATGCCACAGCATCCGCATAATATCCTAAGAATGTGATTATTAGAAGGAGTTAAATACTGAAATAAATTTAATATAGGTAATAACTTCAGCGAAGAAATGGAACTAGTTAGACAACAGTACGGAATAAGAACATCTGAAACTATAAGAGCTGTAAAAACTGCCATGGCCTTTGCACCTAGAGATCTTTGGATGTGTGATTCACCAAATCCAAAATTGAGTATGTTTCCCATTCGTGAAGTACTATACAGGGAATTTAATTAAATGGTAAAATCCTTGCAGATGAAACGTATACACAACTAACAGAGCTATTCCAAGGCTATATTGTAAATGAGGTAGACCTGAATCCTCAGTCGAGTTGCAGGGAAAACTGCGCTTATTATAAGTACTCGAAAGTGCACGGATGTTATAAAGATCAATTCTGTGCCCATCAACGTAAATGTAATGGTAATATATTACACTGCGAGTATGTCGATTCCGACATGTGGATCTGCCCTGCGGTAAACCGAATTCCATTGTTTATAGGTGCAAATGCATAAAGAGAATTTTGTGTTTCACGCGCGTTTAATTTTTAGGATAGAAAGAGTAGCCGAAGGTACGAATATATAGAATATGAGAATGGCAAGCTGTTCGGGCAAAAAGATTCTTGCAGCAAACCAATAAGTAAAGTTGACAGTTGGTGGCGTTGGTTGTTTTGGCATTGCAGTTATTGTTTCTGCTACTGTGATGATCAAAGTATAAAATCTGACCGGTACTTCAGCTTGCGAATGGTTAAATCCGACATTAAGAACAACAAGTAAATATTTTACTCCGAGTAGCTTATTAAGAATTGTTGATCCTATACACAATGATACACTATACTCTACAGGGTTGTAACAGGAGTTGCACTGAAGAAGGTGAATCAAGTAATACATATACAAATACAAGAGGGTGAACTGTTGCCACGTGGAAATATCAACGCAACAACTACTGCTTGGAAGCCTATTGAGGCATTTTCTATTTTGGCTGGGGACGTCAAAAGCAATGTTGACTATGTCACACTAGCATGGGAGAACAGAGGCTTGGACTTGGACGATTTAGTGTCGGATCAAGATCATCTTTTAACAGGTATGCATCACATAAAACGGCACTATTCGTTTCATGCTATTCATGGTATTTATCTTTTCAGGTCTCAGGTTTAGAACTATCGGACCTCGCTTGAACTTGGAAATATTGGTATCGCCATTCAACTTTACGTCAGGGAAATTGATAGACCCGGAAAAGAACAGTTTCTGGATAAGCAACGATGTCACTAATAGGTAAAGTTATTTTTCTGTAGTCCAAGATTATTCCCCCTGTGTTAATTATTTGAATTTATAGGATACAATTGGAATTAAAAAATCCTGATATACCAACGCGGGTTCAACTACCATCGTTGCCAGATTCTAAAAAACATCAGTACGTGGATTTCGCGCCCAGCGACCGAGTGATGGATGCTGCACAAAATACGATACCATTTATTGATATTCAACCAGTAGAATCTTATCCACCAGTTCCAGCGGCCGGTGCTGGGATTTATCATAAAGGCAGATCAGGGTCGGGTGGTTACGTGGCATTGAAACTATTCACATATGACTTTACACCGCATTTATCGGCAGACCTACCACCTTTGCCACCAATTATTAATGCACCGAGTAAACAGACCTATACGTTCTTGTGATCGTCGTTGATTTTATGTTAAACAATATAATTTTTAGCTCGTTTCAAAACGGAAAATTTGCTATTTCATATAACTTGTAACATTTATGGTTAATCGCATCCGTTTCCTGTCAATTCTTTCTGTCATCATTGTGCCATTTTAGCATGTGTATGATGCATATAATATTTTTCACGTTAAATATAACTTCTGGTTTATACTACCGTAATTTCTTTCATTTCGTTTTTATATTTTAAACTACAAATTTGTTTCTCTAATTAGTAGAAAGTTTTAGTATTCTATTGTTCTAAAAAATTTCAATTTGCGTTTAAAAAGAAATTTATACCGTTAATCCGTATTAGCTGCATATTTTATATTAATATAACACTACTTTTTATCGACACTATAAATAAGTACCTCAAGATCCTGTGATTAAAAAATAGATATAAAGATATATAAAGAATAAAATATTAATGGAAATTTTCTTGGTAATGAAAATATATCATCCCTGTTACTTTAACTTTGCCCTTTTCCCCTAATGTTCAAATACGGCTTCAGAGGAATATAAAAAAAAGAAAAAAAAGACTTTAATAGGAGCAGAAGACATTAAAAGGTACTCACCTGAACGCGTAAAGGATGCATCATTAACAGGTGCAGCATGTCAGTAGGAGGTAATAAATCATTAAGTTTTGCTCCTTGTTGGCGAACCGCTTGACACATGAACACAGCGAAATATCGGTGTAGAGGAAGGTGAAACGACACTTGTATGCTATCACTCTGTAACGAAAAGAAGAGAATCATTACATTACCGATAAAATTTCGAATACAATACTTCCATAGCCAATAAAACTATTTTACTAGATGTTTCATGTAAGATATTACTAACTATTTTGTAACATAAAGTGCTTAAGTTCTTACATCGTTTGGATGGGTGTAATTAATAGCATCTAACCAATCTTGTAGAGCCCCGAGGCAATAACTAAGCACTCTTCGACTAAGGGGTGCACTCTCGGGACCGCTTAAATGAGAAAGCGAGGCCCACATGGGATATGCGCTAGCTTCTAACTCGGCACTGAACGCTGCATAATACGTATTGGGTTCGAATTCTATGTGTTCACTCAATTCTCGTTGATTTACGTTCATTCCTACAAGAAATGTAATAAGTAGCATTCGTGGTTTCTTTCAATTAATACATAATTACATATTATATGAGACGTAATAATACCTTGAAACATTGATAGAAAGTGAAACCACATTTCTAAGAGTGTATCATCACTCATGAATCGAACTGCAACAGGCTTATGCGAAAGAACATTATTTAAATCGGACACTAACGGCCAGTAACAATGTTCTTTCATTACTTGACGTCCACAGTCTACTACGTAATGAAAATTTTTATCTGGATCTAAACAATGAAACAATTATATAAATAAACATATTTTATGCTACAGTACAACTTTCTAATATTCTGTCACCATTGAAAATACATACCATGCAAGGTGTTTTGAATTAAAATTTTACTCATCATGTACTTTAAACTGATAACCATAACGTGTAATAAATTTAGTTCATCCACCATCTTTAGTGCTAGACTTTCATTGCTAAATAGCTAAAATATATGAAATATAAACATATTAATGTTAATTTAATTTTTATGGTAAATATATTGTTTTGATGAAAAAATTTACCTGTACGCTAACATGAACTACTCTGTTGCTCAGAGTGTCAGGATCTGTTGAGCGCTCAAGCATCATTGAAATTCTACTATAATGTAATACGAATGCACGAGTGAGCGCTTCCTTGTAATCTGGGTCTGGTAATATATTCAGTAGCAGACACACTAATTTTTGTGGAAATTCATAAACAACTATCCAAAACATCAGTTCTTCTAAGAAAGTAGTATGTTGTAAATGTTCTTGCAATGATGCACATTCTGAAAGAACAAATACAATATGTATTCTATTACAATTACACATCTATTAATAGTATACGCGTACACTAACCTTTGTATTCATCGGGTGGTTCTGGATTTGGCAAAGACTTTACTGCATCTTGATACATATTATTACTATCTTGGCAGTAGATGTCATACTCTGGTTGTCCAGTAGAATGAGAAGGGTCCATAAAACATCTATACTTCTGTGGATTTGTTAGCGCTGATGTCATGACCCTCCTCATTAATGCACCCATTTTATTAAAATCAAGGAGCATAGTTAAATACGCATCTGCCTCTACAACAGCAACTGGAAAAGGCCCTCTACTGTGAAAATAAAAAAAAAGAATCATTATAATGAATATGTCATGTGCTATGTATCATCTTAAGAGAGTAATAAACAATATTACTTCACACACCAATGTTCACGTAAATGTTGAATAAGACGAAGAATAATTCTAGGCATCATTGCATCCGCCACACACAATAAATCTGATGGAGCAGCCGATTTATCGACGGCAGCTTTTGGACCATGTCTATCACAGAATCTATAGAAGCAAATTATAAAATAAAATAATTTTACTAATACGACTTATTCTGAATGATTTATCAAAATGTTTACCCTGCTTCTTTCATAACAGATGGATCACCACAGTCACATGCTCCTCCAGCTTGACTAAGAAACATATTAAAGTCATGGCGAAAATGGTTGCCCTTTTTAAAACATTCCGTACATAAAGACATACAAGGTGATATACCACAGGTACGACAACGATATGCCACAAAATTTGGTGTCCAAACAAGTCCACAAGTTGTAGCATTATCGTATGTTCTCACTGAAATGTTTATAATGTAATATATAAACCTTTCTTAATACATAGAAAATATATCTATTAATATTTTGTTAAAAGTTCTTGTATTCTATTATATAGAATGTTATATTATATTCATATTGCGCAAACTTATGCAACATTATATACAAGAACATTTGCTTTCGTATACTTTACAGATAATAACATACTAAATAATTTAAGTGACCTCCAAATAAGGTTGTAAACAGTTTAATATAATATAATCAACAGAGTATGATAACGTTTTCTTTAAAAACAACAAACACTTGGCATAAAATGCATTGGAAACTTCAAACAAACGATTATTATAAAAAGAAGGAAGATAGTAAATTTATTAGATTTGCAATTCAACCTGCTGCAAGTAGCAAACAAATTTCGCTAATTCTCAAAACATAAAAGAACAAATTTATACGATACCTGTATTAACAAATTCATCAGGCGTACGACCACCAGCCATCAACCACTTACACCAGTCAATGACTTCCCAATCATCGATAGCCTTACTGGGATTCAAGAGTATATCCAATAATTCATTAAGATGTTGTGGTTCACCAGTGTCAAGGGTTGGATTGCTGCATTCTGCATAAATATAAGCAGCTGCACCACGTTTGCCCTTGTTCATTAATACTTGAGCCGAGGAGTTAGATGTCGAGGCCATCGTGAAATAGTTCACCTCGCAAAGCGAGGATACCACCGATTTCGATACGTATTGCGGTATCCTTCGAGGATGACGAGTATCCAGAAAACAAATGAACGAGTTGGATGGGAAATCAGATGATATCGACGTTAAATCACCGACGAGATATAGGATAGACTGGACATCTTATAGGACTTCGTGTCCGAAGGTCTGAAATACCGATCGTGTAAAAAAAGCAGACGTTTTGATATGCCCTCTACGATTTAGAGTGGCGAGTAGAAGAATTATATTCGAATCGACGATTCAAGTTGGTAAAATCAGTAAACGCAAAGAATTCTCTTTGCGAGTTTTAATTATTTACACGCATATACATGCTCGTGTAATGTATGTGTCAGATTTTATGGTTAGTATCGTTCACTGTCAGTCGTTAAGCAATAGATTACGCGTACGAATTCAAACTTATTCGAATCGAACGTTTGAAATTTCAACATAATCAGTATACTACTAACGAACATGTAAAATTTTGTTACTGCATAATTATGTTAAATTCAATTCTGATCCTATTAAAATAATTTTTCATCTGACATATGTTTACATATACATATTTCGTCGGAATATGTTGTCATCGTACGACTGTCAATTTTATTTTTTATTTATAATTCAATAAAAGTAATATTTATGATATGCTTGGACAACGAATGAGCAAACTATTATATAAAAACGATTGAAATAAACAAACTTCGTTTCCAAAGTAATATTGATTAAGTGTTGCTATGCTATCTATGTTATATATCGGGTGTGATATTTTAACATGGCAAACATTCTGTAGTTGTATTAACAGAATATAATAATTCGAGAAACATAAAATTTATGATAAATGACGTAAACAGTTCGACGGCAGAGGATCAAAATTTAATAAAAAAACGTAAACCTCTATAACAGAAATACAGTATCAACGATGTGTTTTGTTTCTTAACAGTTGACATTCATTTTTTCTGAATGTTATAAAAAATGGGTATAAACTTTGAAATATTATTCAAAAGAAAATTCGTTAATCGTCGTTGTTCTTCGGATAATGATTCAAGAAACGATACAATTCTATAAATTGATATACAAGGATGGTAAGCAGTTTTTTATTTGAAAATACTGTATATGTACGAAATTGTAAATACAGAAATTAACCGGACAACGACTTTAACCCGCGAGGAGCTGAACGGCACGAGTATTTTCTCGAAACAATATTGCGTATTAATAAAATTATGCTATAGGAACACGATGAATCGATGGGAAATAGATTTTTGATTAAAGCGAGTTTAAACGTGTCATAAACCGAGCAACAGCGAAGCTAACTTCAATATCAGTTTCACTCAAAGATCATCGAGTATTCAATATTCCTTTGGAACTCGACGAATGTAAAGTCGACGACGAGATTGTATGAATGTGGTAGCGTTTGTACGTGTCAGATTTTTGAGAGAAAGGAATAACGGTAGTAATGAGTAAGGGAGATAGAAAAAAACAGTTGGCTACTCGTGTACGTTTGTCCCAAGGAAGCTAGTGTTGCACACATACGTATCCATGTGTACATACGTCAACTCGCATGCTTAAGAAACAAAACAAATATTTGGGATTATTCACGCAGCAGACCTCTGAATCGCATTATTTGGTTTTTTTAATATTTCGATACTAGAAGAACACGTTAGTTCTTTTACATAAAGATAGATAGATGATTTTGAACTGCATTTCTAACTTGCTTAACGGCATGTCCAGTCTATCCTATATCTTGTCGGCGGTTAAATTTTCAGGAAGCCGACAGGGCAGCCGATAGTTGCCCGACGACTTGTAGCTTTTTGCGTGTCTTTTCGTGCGAAAACTTCCGGGAAACCTTTCAAGTAGAGGTGGCCCGCGAACCAGGGGATTCTCGGGAATCTCCATATCAGTGAGTATCTCCCGTCAACTCTGTCTTCCTCATCAATTTTGACAGCATGACGAAAGCACCAAGGGACCGTTAACTTACACCACTCTCTTAAACCACGGATAATTATTGACCTTCAGATTTCGTGTTTCGACAAGTACGCGGTACTTGCACAATAATCGTTGTTGTTAATACGACACACATCCGCATTTACAGGACAGCAAAACCAATTGACCACTAATCGTTCGATCAATTGACCACAACTTATATTCTTCCACGGTACGTCTTCCTCCGTTTGATCAAGAATATATCTATCTTATCGACAGGACAATAGCAAAATATTAAATCATGCTTTCAAGGCGTACTCACTACGTTTCAGTATTCCTTTAAATTGTTTACGCCAAATATACTTCCGCTAGAACGGTTATGGACTAGAGAAATGAAAAAACAATATATACTTGTTAAAATATAAATAATACTAAAACTACGACTTTGATTACGTTCTTCGTACGATTTTCGTCTAATCCAATCGCATACGATTTCCTGGACAAGTTGGATTATTATCGAATAGACTATACGTATTTTTTTTTCGTCGTACGATACAGGTAAAAATGTGTAATTATGAAATAATGAAATTAAAATGTGTAGTTGGTAATGTTAATTTTTGTATAGTTAGTAATATTAAATTACAAACAGTAACGGTCGTAACGTGTTTGAATTCCAACATTCTTAACCAATGAGGTACAAGTACATTTAGATGGTAGTATGGCAACACTGACTACCAACTTTTCCTTTTTGTTCAGCTAACCGAGCGTGTACGTCGCTGTGATAAGTAAAATTATAAATCGCAGGTAATCTTCTTCTTCGAAGCACATCCACCATAAAATAATTATGAATTAATTACTATTTTCGATGATCGATTGTTTGGTCATAATATTTTATGTCATATATAGTGTTTAAATAGTTTGAATTTAAAGGTGATTAATAGGTTAGGATTAGTCCAGCTTGTTCTTTACTATTATTGTTTTATTCATTGAGTTGAAACACACTACACAATACTGATTAGTATTTTGGTCGTTCTATATTTATTGAACTCTTAACATTTGTTTAAATACATGAAATTATATTGTTTAAATCCGGTTCATGTTAATCCTAGGTTATGTTTGTATGTCACATAATATCCGCAATCAGTAAGATACATCAGGAAAACAAAACAATTATAAATATTTTTATAAATATAAGATTTTTATTCTTTCAGCCATGGTGCGTATGAACGTTCTTAGCGATGCTCTCAAATCTATCAATAACGCTGAAAAGCGTGGTAAAAGACAGGTTCTATTGAGGCCTTGTTCTAAAGTAATTATCAAATTTTTGACTGTCATGATGAGGAAAGGTAAGAAAATATATGAATAATTCTTGTGCTCGTAATCACATTAATTCGATTCATTGTTTAAATAGCAGTTTTATCAATTTCATAACTATTTTTCATTTTTTTTCCATTGCATTCAGGATACATTGGAGAGTTTGAGATTGTTGATGATCATCGTAGTGGTAAAATTGTGGTAAACCTTAGTGGACGGTTAAACAAATGCGGTGTTATTTCACCTAGATTCGATGTTCCAATTAATGATATTGAAAAATGGACCAACAACCTTCTGCCATCTCGTCAGTTTGGGTATGTAGTTTGAACTTTATGTGACTTTAAAAATAATTTATAGATACATCAAAACAAATTCTGGGTTGTAGATATGTTGTCTTGACTACTAGTGGAGGAATTATGGATCACGAAGAAGCCAGACGAAAACATCTTGGAGGGAAAATACTTGGATTTTTCTTTTAATTTTTATTTAATTCAATAAAAATTTCATAAACCTTAAACATGTGTGTGTTTATTACTATTAAACTAACTATGAATGCAATTATCCCATAACGAATCCCTTGCTAAAAATAACAAAGTAATAAAGGAAAATATAAAGCATTGATAGATTTATTTGAATAATAAACCTAGTTCTAACGAGCTGCAAACCATAATATTGAAAAGCGTTAACGTATCGTTCAGTAACGAATAAAACTGCTAAAAAATTGTTTGTCATTACACCTTTACAATGGTATATAAATGTTGTTAAAACGGTAACTATCATTTTATGCGAATTATTTTTATTCGAAACTAATATAATTTTAAACAATAATCCGCAGTGTATACCAACTGCAATGTATGAAATTACGGGCTGCTTCTGATTGGTCGCTGCATCCCTCACCCGATTGGTCGAGCGTTAGCGGAGCCATTCAGCATACGCGTGGTTGCAATTTCAACTTTATTCCTCTAGTGAACGCGGCGGATGACGGTCAGTCAACAAAACTTTGTAATTCGACCGAAACTTACGGACGGCTCGTATCGCGCGTTACGCTGTGAAAGTCACCGTTTTCCTACAGAATTCGGTAAACAAAAGTTTCCTCGACGCGCTGCACATTTTTCCAAGAAAACGTGCGAGCGAATTTCTAAGAAATTGAACGGTGTTGCCAGGTGTTACCAGGTGAATGTGACCGTTTTGTGCTGCGTTACCTGGACTCACCTGAAGGGACAGCCGTGCGGCGGATCGCATTAAAATCCGAAAGCTTCGCATCTTTTTATACAGTGTGACCGTCGAAGAACGGCCCGTTCCAGTTACCGTGAATTCAAGTGCAGTGACAGTTGCGTATGAAAATTTTGAATATACATTATTCAGCAGTCGAGCGATCGTCTCGTTACACGCGATGTCCCAGTATCTGTAATCTCATTCCGAATGCCGTGATTTCGTTAGAAATTCGTTGAACATTCCGAAACGCGTTTCCTCTCGTTCCTCCTGTAAATTCGCACGCGTCGCGGCACGTTGCAGGATGTTTCACGCGCGTTCGTATAGGTACGCGATCATGAGAAAGAAGTGCGAAACGCGGCGGTGAGTCGTAGGGAGACGTGTCGGACACCGAGTAAAATGTAATTTGGCGAGGGAAGTCTTTGGACTTGGTGCGTCGATCCGAAAGTAAGAGAAAGAAAAAGGGAAAGAGCCGCCGATAATACGGGAATCGAATGGAAAATTGCACGGATGCTACGTGATCGTCGGGTTCCACGAAAGAAGGAGGGACTGCGAGCAAGAGGAATGTTGTCTCACAGGTGTACGTCGTAATGCTCTTCCGTTACGCCTACCGAAAGAAAACGTAACCGAGGCTGGATCTCGCCGCGAGGGACTCGAAAATGCGGAGAGCGTTCAGGAATCGTCGCTGCTCGTTCGCGTGATTCTCGATCGCGGATTGTATGACGTTTTCGTTGCGAAGTGCGAGGGAAGTGGAACCGACAGAGCGGATAGGTCAGAAATTCACCGAGTAACATGGAGATGCAGTGGAGAAATGCGGTGGCGGACCTGTCGACCTTCCTGAGCACGAGGACGCGAATTCTGTTTGCCGCTGTCTATTTCATCTGGATCGCTGGCAGCGCCTGCGCCACTGGTGAGTTTTCGCGCCCATTTTCATGTTATTGTTAACACCTTCACCGCTACGAACATTTATTTTATTCTCTTTATTATTTCTTTTATAACGAAGTCCTAGAATTAACTATCAATGTTTTGGTATCGCGACTCTTAAGTTACGTTATTATTCGGTTACTCGTGTAATTAAATATTTTGATTTCGTCACCGTATTAACCGTTCGATTTTCCTTGGCGTCGATCACGACCACCCCAAAGTCTGGGGTTATGTCTGGTTAGAGCCTAGAGTCTACGCGATTATACCATTGGAATTTTTCTTAGCCCTTAATAACCTAGTATATTTTCGTACAATATTAATACTCTTAGAATAAATGTAACAGTAAAAATGAAGGGTGACATGGTTCAGGACGTAAATTACTAATTCTTTTACCATGGTACATCGAGATTAATTTAGCCGTTGAAAATTAACCTGGTGATTCAGCGTTGATAATTTCGTTAATTATCAGTGTCTCTGGCAGTCGCTATAATTTCTATCCGCACGGAATTTTTTCGCGACATACAGCGTCCAGCCATGTTGAACTCGCCGGTAATTGCCGTCGTTATTACATGGAAACGGTATTCGCTTTGTCATGAAAATTACGCGAGAACAGGATGCACGCTCTCGGCGTGTACGAATGCCTGTGACAAAGACGAACGTTCGATGTTAACGTTGAAGGACGGGGCTGACTGTTTCCCAAAACCGGTCAGGCCTAATACGAGGCCATTTAAACATTGCTGGGAATATCGCTGAGTAGAACAAACAGCGATATCTCGGCACTCGGCCAAATCGCTTTCGCACATGCTCAGGCGGCGAGCAAGTGAACGCTTGTCCAAATGTAGTGCACGAAACTATGCGATTACTCTGCTAATGCAGAATGGAACGCGTTTATTCCGACAACGATTAAAACTAACGTCTAAATGAAACCTAACACGGTCGAGAATGGAACGGGGGCTTAACATCGACGCGATCGCAGCTGTTTTTTAATCCCGGACATATTCGATGACGATCGGTGACCTACATGGCGATGTCTCATCCACATACAGTACGCGTCTGTTATCGCGCATAGTTTCGCTTAATTATAGAGAGGTAATTGTGCGGTTACGTGATTTATTGCCGCGATATCGATGGGTCGAGGCACGCGGTGTGTCCTGGTAGCGTACAGTACGCTTCATTATGAACGGTACCAAGGGCAGATTGTACGCGTTACGTTAAGTGGGCTCGCGTTAATGGGCTATAAGTTGCACACCGCGGTTAGGGCCGCCATGGAATATTCACGTACGAATACAGTTTTACAGTGCACCGTATCTTAACCTCTAATAATTATTTTCGAGAAGAATTCTGTATCGCGTTGGTAATTCATTCGTCGGATTCACATTAACGCTAGAAGCACTGAAGCACAGAAGCACTGAAATTGACTTTTTGCATCGCCACATCTGTTTCTTTAACCCTTTGCACTCGAACGGCGCCTTTCAATCGCCACTTGATTTGACCGAACAAAATGATGAAATTTAGAATTGAATATCAAATTTCATATAATTTATCGACACATGGAACATCGAAATAAACTAGTTCTGTCACTTAATTTATACAAGGTATTTCTTTATGTTAGTTGTAAAACGTATCATTGATATTTCATCAGAAAATAATGAATATTAGTTGAGAAAAATATTCTCGAGTGCAAAGGAAAGCACCTGCTGTTTTTAATTCTCGGTTGGTGGTTGTAGTATTAACCACTCGATCGAAGATCGTTTGCTCGGTATTACAAAATGAAATACAAAATGTTTAAATATTGTAACCTATGGCAAACAGTCTGTTCGATCTTTAGAGTACCCCACATATATAGCGTCGACTGATGAAAAGGGAGGGAATTAAATCGCGAATGAAATGCGTGAAATATTTATTGGACGAATATCGAGTCGGGACACCTGCGGCGATTCGCACGATGTTCGAGTATCGGGGCTTGAAAAATCAGGGGGCAGAAAAATCCACGAAAGTTCCCCCCCTCTATTAGCGGCGGGAGCGTGGCGTAGGAGCACGCCCCAATTGAGATTTATTACGACGTTAATCCGTCCAATTGTGTGAACGAAGTTAAACCGTTGACCTCTTCGTCGACGATTGCAAAGGATACGGAGAGCACGTGCCGCGACGGTGTCGGCTCTCTCGCGTGTACATGTTGCGGTAGATAATACCACCGACCCGCTTAGAAAAATCTGTCGCTCCGTGTCCCGGCGGTTAGCGTATCGAGGGGCGCACGCGAACGCGTGCGTTCAATTTTTCATTGTTCCTTTCAACGTGTCATACGGACGCCAATGTTTTTTTCTTAACCATACGAATCTTGCCAGTTGTTGGAACCCGACCGAGAGCTTGCCCGTTCGAACATTTTATACGGACACTAATATTTTTCATTAACCGTACGAATCTTCTCAATTGTTACAGTCATTTTTATACCAACGATTTACGAAGGGCCGGCAAGTTTTCTGTTTATTACTAACCGTACACGCGTATCGCGTTACACTCGGGAACTTTCGTGGAAAGAAAAATGTCCGTTGCGTCACTCTAATACCGGACATGTTATCGCTAGTACTTATCTTACCGTTGGTACTTAGAAAATGATATGGCGCGAGTTTTTTTTTCATTAACAGTATAGTTGACTAGGGTCCATTTTGACCCAATATTTCCGAAGCTTCGTTTGTTCTATCGTCGAAGAATTCCGTGGGTGGTAGTACGATCGCGTTGCAAAAGATAAATATTGGGAAGAAAGTGTGTTTATTAACAGTATAGTTCACGAGACGTAGATTAGTCCTGTTCAAATGGGGGTCCATTTTGATCCAACACGTCTGAGGCTTCGTCTGTTCTATTGTCAAAGAATTCCATGGGCGGTGGTATGGTTACAAAAGGGAAAAATTAGGAAGAAAATTTCGGTTGATAGGGTTCCGTGGCCCATTTTCCGGAATTCGTTTCCTTATCTGGCTTTATCTTACGGCGGGTGGTATCTCAATGGGTCGCGTTGTCCCAGGGAAATTTAATCAACGGTTCTCCGTTCCGGTTACAAAACCTCTCGAGTGGGGGGTGGGATCGTGTCAACGGAACGAGATGAGTCGGAAAGGTCGCGCAGGAGCGTTATTGTAATTGGTTTCTCCGCGCGGAGCTGCAACGTGCAATTTAACAATGCGTGCACGCGACCGTCCGGTTAGGGGGTCACGTGCATCGATACGCATGCAATTAAGACGGTACACGGATGCACGCGTTTCAATAGTAATTATCGACGGCGACATGCAACCGGCAGCGAGCCCGTGCGCGTTAGGAACGCGGCTAACGCCGGCCGAGTGCGTAAGTCACTTAAGGATGCGTCTTTTCGTTACTCACTGCCGGGAGTGCGTAATAGGCCAGCGGCTCTCAACCCCTCCCGAAACGCGCACCGTCCAATCGAACATTAACCCTTTGCGCTCGAAAGGCGACTCCCAGTCGCCAGATGATTTGATAGAGCAACATTAGAAACTTTGGTATTTACCATTGCCCTCTGTATGCTTTAATAGTGAATTAGTTCCCTAATTCATATGTGATTTCTTAATAAATTAATTTCAGAGTATCTCGTCTACATGTAATTAGAACGTATTGGATGTTTCAAGTGAGAATCTCTCGAGTGCAAAGGGTTAATACCTTCACTCATTGCCCCGTATCTTAGACTCGCGGCGAGAATATTCAACGGATTAAACAAATTCAGATTTTAAGAGCTTTAAGTCACCCGTGTGAACAGTACTCTGTCGCTTCGATCGTATGTCGAAACTCGCCGTCCGTGGAATGTGAAATTGTCTTGGTTGAACATTACTGACGACGTGATTAACGTGACCGGTATTGTAACAGTGCCTTTTAAAGTCGAATTTGTACCCTTAACGGACCGGAAGCGTTTCAAGTTGACTTATCACGAAAAAATATCGTAACGTAGATAACGAGCGGAGGGGAATTCACGGAAGCGACCTGGCACGGTACTGTTAATTGTAAATATTACAGTAATGTCGTTGCCTCCATATGCGTGGCAATTGGACCCAGCAAGCGAAAGCGTTAGAGGGGTAGGTTTGAACTGCAATTCAGGTTACGAGACTGATTACCGGGATAAAAAGCTTTAGCGCAAGGGAAGCACTTTTGTGATCGTTAACCTGAAACGACGGGGTTTCGAAGAACGAGGCGAACGGCGTCAATAATTACCATTTTCTCGCCACACCCCCACTGCCATCCGCGAAATAACTTATCCGGTGATCTGCATATTCCACTCTGGAAACGCTCGTCCCGCCGAGTTACTGCCGGTAATGACTTCCTGCTTTCGCAACGTGAACGATCATCCCGCCCGCGATCGCCGATACGAAAGGCGAAGGAACGCGACTCTTCGACCCTCGGCTCGGTTAAGGGATGGTTCGCCCGCTGAATTACTATTACCGAGAATCTGGGCCAGAGCCTAAGAATCCTCGGAATAATACGTTTCTCGAATACATCGTTGGAACGGTTTAAATAGTATGGAGAAATATAATAGTATGGAGAAACTTAACTGTTCAACGCGTTGACCAACGAAATCATAGAAATTCACGTATGGACTGGCTCGAGAGTCTTTAAAATAATATTTCGGTACAATATCATTCGTTCCTTCGTAGCAAAGACGACTTGGTATCATAGTTCTTTAATAAATATGTTTATCTCTCGCTCGCACGTCAGTTTGCGCGTTGTCGCGTCGATTCGTCGAAGAATTCCCCAGAACAGCCCGAAACCGCGGTACCTTTTCGATGATTCGAAAGGAAGGGATCGGGAACGAACGATTCCGATCGGTTCTAGCGTTAATTCCACCGAACGGTTGGACTATCGGATTAAATCGCCGGGAAGAGACGGGTTCTCTCGTGTTTCCAGGTCGTTGTGGTCACCGCGCGGGTACGCGTCCGCGGATAAAAAAGGGGCGGCAGGCGTGCTACGCGTTCGGTAACCTGCGCCCGTGTA